ACTTGTTTGACGGGTGCTCTAAGTTTAACTAATATCTAGCATGACCATTAATCTATGTTTTAGTGCATCCGACTGTCGACAATATCATCGTGACTCGATTTCTATCCGTCTTTTTCACAAAACACTGTTTCTCACCCAATCCGAAAACCCTATTTCGATATTTCAGTGACAATTTGTCATTCAAACCATAGTTTTTCAAATTTCTATTTCAAACCCTATTCTTAACGAAAACTTAATAGAAATTCTAAAACCGAATCTCAATGTATATCCGAAACCCTAAAAAATTTGATTTTTGCGGAGTTAAAAAACTATACCTGGAGGTCTTCGCAAGTAGGGTCCGAAGAGGGGGCCGAAGATGATGAAGACGAAGAGGGGGCCGAAGACGAAGCCATTATTCGTGCAAATTTGACGAGTTTGATGAACTCGCAGAAAGATCGCACAGAAAAATCACAGAGTGAAGAGAAAATGAAGAAGAAGAAACGACTATGAAGAAATGAAAGTGTCTGTCGAAAAGGGGTAAAAAAAACTGTTTGGTTTTTCAAATTTTTTTAATTTAGTAACTTCCCAATTTTTTGTCTTTATTCTCCAGATGTTGACACGTGTATTTTTTAAAGGGGGTAACGATGTCTTTTCATTCTTTTTCAGTTTTTTTTTGAAGGTTTTTTGTTTGAAGGGTATGTCATGTAAGTGAAATCGACATTTAAAGGTATTTTTGTAATAATCCCGTATTAATGTTGTTATTTCACTCGGGCCGAAAATTTAATATTTTTGTAATAATCCCTCTTCACCTTCTCCCTCTCCTTTTTCAACTACGCCACACGCCTTCATTCGAACAGGAGAAGAGCGTTTTCTTGGGGGGTTTGGGTGTTTCCCTAGAGAGAGAGAGAGAGAGAGAGAGAGATCGGTGTGAAGCAATGGCGGTTTCCAGTGCATTCATCGTTGGGCCGAAGCTGGAGACCTTGTTTCTGAATCGACATCATCATCTTTCGTCGTCGTCTTCGTCGACCCATTCGGGTCTCCATGGAGTCCATGTTCTTCTGAGGAGCAATCGGAACCGGAGAGCTTTGATCCATAGAGCGCGTTGCGAACTCTCTTCCTCCGATTCCGCGTCTATGGCGTCTAGCATCTCCGCTCTCGAGCAGCTCAAGACTTCTGCCGCCGACAGTACGATCTTTTCTCCCTTTTTTAATGGGTTATCTTGGTTCCCGATTACGATTTAGGGTTTTCTCGAATTCGAAGTTTAGATCGCGTCTCCCTTCGTTGGAGTTGGCAATGAAATTAAAACTTCTGACGTTTGATTTTTCTCTCTTGAATTCGATAATCTATAATCACGAAGAGGGATGATTTGATTTCATGATATCATCTCAAGGCTCATTTGGTTTCTTTCCTCTGTCGATCTTCACGATTTTCTATGTAATGTGTATAGAGGCCAGATCTTAGTCATTGCTCTCTTCCACTGACGATCTCATCGTGTGTATGTAAAAGGGTATACGAAGGAAAGAAGCAGCATTATCGTGATTGGTCTCAGCGTTCACACTGCTCCCGTCGAAATGCGAGAAAAGCTTGCCATTCCTGAAGCCGAATGGCCTCGAGCTATCGGAGAATTGTGTGGTTTGAATCACATTGAGGAGGCTGCCGTCCTCAGTACCTGCAATCGGATGGAGATTTATGTGTTGGCTCTGTCTCAGCACCGTGGAGTCAAAGAAGTCACGGAATGGATGTCCAAGGTGATTCCTTTTCCCCATGGCTTGTGACCCTTTAACCGATTAGAGCGTGTTGTAGCCATTGTTGTTCAGCTTTTAGCCTACACGAAGTGAAGTTTTTGGTTGCATTTTGGTGAAAACCCTGTTTCTGGTTAGCTGCAAATGCTAAATGATCCTCTTTTCTTTTGTTGTCAGACGAGTGGAATCCCGGTTTCAGAGATATGTGAACACCGATTTCTGCTGTACAACAAGGATGCGACACAACATCTTTTCGAAGTCTCGGCTGGTCTGGACTCTCTCGTTCTTGGAGAAGGTCAGATCCTTGCGCAGGTTAAACAAGTGGTTAAGGTCGGGCAAGGAGTTAACGGGTTTGGGAGGAACATAAGTGGGCTATTCAAACACGCCATCACGGTTGGGAAACGTGTGAGAACAGAGACGAATATCGCTGCTGGGGCTGTTTCGGTCAGTTCAGCTGCCGTTGAACTCGCTCTAATGAAGCTCCCGGAATCTTCCCATTCGTCTGCTAGGATGTTGGTAATCGGAGCAGGAAAGATGGGGAAGCTTGTTATTAAGCACTTGGCTGCAAAGGGTTGCACAAAAATGGTGGTTGTGAACCGAAGTGAAGAAAAAGTTGCCGATATCCGTGAGGAGATGAAGGGTGTTGAGATTATCTACAAACCCCTCGAGGAGATTCTATCTTGTGCTGCAGAGTCCGATGTAATCTTTACAAGCACAGCCTCTGAGACTCCATTGTTCTTGAAGGAACATGTTCAAGAACTCCCTTCTGTCGGTTCGGATGTTGGAGGTAGAAGACTCTTTGTCGATATCTCAGTTCCGAGAAACGTGGGATCTTGTGTCGGTGAAGTAGAAAATGCTCGGGTTTACAACGTGGATGACCTCAAGGAAGTGGTAGCTGCAAACAAAGAGGACAGACTAAGGAAAGCAATGGAGGCTCAGGCCATTATAGCTGAAGAATCGAAACAGTTTGAGGCTTGGAGGGATTCTTTAGAGACAGTTCCAACAATCAAGAAACTGAGGGCTTATGCCGAGAGGATTAGGGTTGCAGAGCTCGAGAAATGCTTGTCGAAAATGGGGGAAAACATCGACAAGAAGACGAGAAGGGCGGTGGATGATCTCAGCAGGGGAATCGTGAACAAACTTCTGCACGGTCCAATGCAGCATTTGAGATGTGATGGCAGTGACAGTAGAACCCTGAGCGAAACGCTCGAGAATATGCACGCCCTGAACAGGATGTACGGTTTGGAGACTGATCTGTCGATGTTAGAGGAAAAAATCCGGGCCAAGGTGGGGCAGAAGTAGCGCATCTTTTCCGGAACAGACAGTTAGGAAAACCCGAATAAGAGGATGTAAACTTCTCCTCAGGCATTCACCGAGGTATATATAGTCATTGTATAGGTCTCGAATGGGATCGTTGATTCAATTTATTCGCGAGAAAAGACGCATCTAACGTTCACCCGGATCATTCCAGTGTCGTCAGATGTAATCATCAGAAAGTTGATAGATCTCTGAGTATAGAGTATGATCAAAGTTCCATTTACAGCCTCTGTAACTTGATGAACTTTGGTGCATCGCAGTGTAGAGAATGCATTTGTCTCTCGGCTTCTTTTATCCCACTTTGGTGTTTTTGAGTATTTGCACTTCTTGTCCTAAGAACATTCCCAAAGATGTTTTTGCATTGAAATGGTGATCGATTTTAACTGTTATTGGTTTTTGGTGTTTATAAAAAAACTTCATTTAAACTTTTTCATAAAAAATAATTTGTTGTTTTTAATTCTGAAGAGGACGTGAAATTCTGCAATAATTCAATTAATTTCGTATGGGTTTTGAACTAATTTCGAGATTTGCAATTAAATGATACTCCGTTATTTTTGGGTTATTTTCGGATTTTTATACTCATTTATCGGATTCCGTACGGGTTGTTTGTTTTTCATTGAGTTTATTTAATTTCTATGTAGTATTTAGATTTTAAAGAACTATATTTCCAAATACAAAATTAATTTTTAATTATATTTGAATAGAAAATTATAGCCACTCTTTAGAATTATGCATACAAATGCAAATCTTGTAATATTTTCTTTCACAATTTGGGAAACTGACCTGTGAATTATTTGTATGGTTATAAAATGGTCATTGAGGAGAATTTTGGAATATTCCAATTCTAAAAAAAGATATTTGATGAAACAAATCATAATAACGACAAACAAAAACAAATAAATAAAAAGAAAAAAAATAATCAAAAGGGGATCTCACTTGGTTTAACGTTAAGAGTTCCCACAACGGAATCAGCACAGTGCCAATGGCCGCCATTATTTCTATTTCCTATTTTGCCTCTTCCTCTTCGCCTTCTTCCTCTTTATCTTCCCCTCTCCTTCTTCAATCTGTTCCTTCTCTGCGTCTTCGTCTTCGTCGGTCCATTGACATTCTTTCTCCCCGTTGCAGCGCAACTCCCTCTCACGGTATGTCTCTTCTCTCTGTTTTTTCTCATTGCCCATGTTAACCATCGTCGTTTTCCGGCAATGTTTTTTTTTCCTAGATTCTCGTTCATAGTAGATGTTGAAATCTAAAAGCCTCGATGATCCACTCTTTCTGGTGTATTATTGATCGAATTACGGTTTAGGAAAAAGGGTTGCTCCATTTTCTGTATTGCAACGGCTTACATTTTCTTCCCGAGGACGAACAAATTGTTGAGTTTAGTGATTTTCGTAAAAGCTTGTGGCGATTTTTTTGTCTATAACGTTTCTCAGTTTCAGACATGGATGCTGCCCCGAGTCAAGGTCTCTACCCACTCCACCGCTGCAAAACCATACATCTGGTTTGTCACTGGAACTTCATTGCCTTGCTCTGTTTTTGGTCTCTTCGTTTCGTCAGGTTAAGATCCTCAAATGCTGAGAAATGCATCAGGCTGAATTGGGTTTTTGATGGAAACGGCATTGAATGGTAATGTAGGTGAGGCATGCTCAAGGGATTCATAACGTGGAAGGAGAGAAAAACCATGATGCTTACTTATCTGAGGAACTTTTCGATGCCCAGCTTACTCCTCTTGGGTGGCAACAGGTAAATTCTTCAAGTGTTAGTCATGTCTTTCAGCGGTTTATACGTGTAATAGTTCATTGAAACATGTCTTGATTATGATTACCATGATGGAAATTCAAAGTTTGTTTCGTATGATCGTATACTATATCGTAAGATTGATGTGTGTTTCTTGCAAGGGGAGTAACTTTGGGTGATGTAATAATCGCAGGTTGATAACCTTCGCAAGCATGTTAAGGAAAGTGGACTCTCTAAGAGAATCGAGCTGGTGATCGTTTCTCCTTTACTGAGGTATCGGTATCGTTGCCTCGGTTTTTGCAAGAGAATCTGGTTTGAATAAGATCTCGGTTAAGTAGAGCCTTGTTGATTCAATTTTCAGAGGCATTTTCATGGTTGGTTTTTTGCTATACAATGGAACGAGACTTTATTGATGGCATATATATAGTGTGGACATATGCAAATGGTGAAATGGCCTTCATCTTTTTCAGATCATCCTGTTTAACTTGAGACAAGTTGCAAACTTTAAATGTAATGTAATATGTGATTGCCACATCCATGTTCCATGATCAGTTCTTGCAATGATTGTATCTACTTCAATGCTCATATCTTTATAGGACTTTGCAAACAGCTGTTGGAGTTTTTGGTGGTGAAGGTTACACAGAAAGAGTTAATGCACCTCCTCTCATGGTCACAAATGCAGGGAAGAGCAATCGTGCCGCTATAGCATGTTTAGATTGCCCACCATTCTTAGCAGTGGAACTATGCCGAGAACATTTGGTATAGTTATTTTCCTCGGGAAACTTAGGTTCACGAGGCGCTTTTTCTTTTTATTCGTAATGTGTTTCGGGTTTTGAGAGTCATTTGCTATGTTCTTGTGTATTTTGATGTCAGGGTGTTCATCCTTGTGACAGGAGAAGCAATATCATAAAGTACCGGGAACTATTTCCTGCAGTTGATTTTTCGTTGGCAAGCACCTTTCTAAAGTTTTCTCTTATGCTTTAATTGTGATTAAGCTTAGTTTCGTTCTTGTTTAACAGTATCGTTTATTCTCTTTACAGATAGAAACTGATGAAGATGTTCTGTGGAATCCCGACATTAGGGAGAAGAAAGAAGAAGTTGCAGCCAGAGGCGTGAAGTTCATGGACTGGTGAGTAGCTTTCAAATCTTACATCTTCGAAACTGAGCATCCATGAACATAGCATGCCTGATATGCTCGGGTTTTTGCTCAAGAAAGTAGATCTCGTGGGTAAATGAATACGAAATCTTGCTCAAGAAGCTGGTTTGGGGTATTGTAATATTATTTTGAACTGATTCAGGTTGTCTACAAGGAAAGAGAAGGAGATTGCCGTCGTCACTCACAGCGGATTCTTGTATCACACCTTATGTTCATTCGGAAACGATTCTGACCCATCTCTGAAATCCGAAATCTCCAGACAGTGAGTCATCTTTCTCTAAACCGATCTTTTTCTTTTTCGTCAAGTCATTCCCTATCATTGCTAGTCCCAAATCAGCATCTAACCATTGATAAGAACCTCTAAACCCTTTGCAGTTTCGCCAACTGTGAGCTTCGTTCTATGGTTCTGGTGGATAAATGGTGAGTTTTCCATAGCAAAAAAAAAGCCGGTATCGATCAGTTATTTCGCAATCGTTCTTGTGGTAATTCTCAGCTATGTTTCGAGTATATGTTGAATGTAGTGTGAGAAGTTCGGATCCTGCAACGGCTAACTAACTCTGTCCCGGGAAGATGCATTTTGGGGAAGATCTTCCAAGCAATGTTTCAGACGTGTGAGCAGAGAAAGAAGATTGTCTGAAAGTGAAACCGAACTCACAAGTGAAGTGTTTCAAACAGTAACAGTAATGGTATATGATTGATTCGTCAAAGATCTGAGATTTAGGTACACCAAAGAACAAGTAAACATTGAAAGGTTCATTCTTTGTCTCGACAGATTTTTGAGATTCAATCCGTAGATAGGATCTCAATCGTTGATTTTCAGTATTCATCTCAGCCGTCAATACTTTTGAACCCATCTCAACCGTTGAAATGCAAGATTTGATGTCAACCGTCCGTTGCAGCAAGATGCTCAATTTAGTTATTTCACTTAGGGGTGGTCAATTCGGGTTTCGGTTCGGGTTCGGTTCGGTTATATTCGGGTTCGCTTATTTCGGTTATAGAAAAACTATAACCATTCGGTTTTTATATAAATCGGTTCGGTTATTTTTCGGTTCGGGTTTGGTTCGATTTTGGTAAAAAGTTCAATTTTCCAAAGAAAATATCGGTTATCCTCTCGGTTTTTTCGGTTATTTTTTATTCGGTTCGGTTCGGTTTCGGTTTCGGTTTTTTGGGTTTAAGTAAATCATAACCGTTCGATTTTGATGTCGGATTCGGTTCGGATACGGTTATGTCTTATTCGGTTCGGTTCGGCTCGGTTATTTGGTTAATAACCGAAATGGCCACCCTATTTTCACTTGGGTTTAGTAAAACCAATATTTGGGTATAGTCCGGCTCGGGTTAATTCCGTATAACCGATCCGGTTTGCTAAACCGCGAATTGGACAAAGTCGGGTGGTCGGCGGATCGACACGTAAGGCATTCAAGGACTATTATTGAGCACGTGGAAAATATCATTTAGGATAAAGTTCAAAAATCACAAATTAATTATTTAAAAAAAAAAATCTTGGATCAGACTCGACGACGAGTCGGGTCGTAATAAGATAAAGTCGCGGGACCACGGCACCATTCGAATACTGTTCATATCCAAAACTCTCAATCGTCGTCCAGAGAGAGAGAAAGAGAGGGATCACGTCTCGGCGCACGTTAGCTAGAGGAATGTTGCGTCTTCGGAAAGTATCAGGAAGCTCACGATTTAGCTGACTATCCACATTTTTTTCCTGCATTCAATTTCGATCTCCTGAGCTGCTTCTCGCGGTTTGTTTCCTGATTCTTTGGGTTTCTCAGCTACGGATGTGGTTTCGGTAAATTTTCCAGGAAAGTTTTTGGTGATTCCTGGGAGATTTTGCTAAAAAATTTGAAGGATTCCGAGGTATTATACGGATCGGGTTTCGTTTGGTGGTTGCTCTTGATTTAGTGGGTTTATTCAGACGGAATTCGAATTGATCTATGCGGTTTTATGATTATACGCATTTCTAGATCATGTTCACTGAAGTAGTTGTGAATTTTAGGATTCTTTCAACCATCTACGTTAATATTCATCTTTGTAATCTATGCGTAAAGTGGCTTGAGTTTTAATTGTTTTCTCTGTTTTATATTTTTTAATTAGGAATCTGACTTTGCGTCTACAGCATTTGTTTTGTGGAAACTATTTAGTGCATATGATTTTGCTATTTCATTGAATAGAGTAGCTTACGTTATTTTGCTTCCAGGAGTTTTGATCATTATTTCGGATGATGATGCATGCTGTCTCTCTACCATTGTCTCATGATCTCAAAGTTCACAAGATCCATGAACCTTCCGGATACCATAACGTACGGGATGTTATGTTTTGAGCTTTGATTTCATCATGATTTCTGAGTTCTAATCACTACACATGAATTGATTTCCTTTGCGTTTGCATTTTGTTTTGCAGACTGGTGTTGGTAAGAACCGAGTATCTCTTTCTCACACAGGTCTCTCATCATGTTCCACGGTATGGCCTGTGTTAAGACATCTCACCGTTCAGTTTTTAGTTGATAGTTTAGTTGGCTCCCCCATGCACGCTTCATCCTCGGTTTTTCTCGGTGGTTTTTGTTTCGAAATCTCTGCGAATAATTCCTTCACTTCGGGATTCTGTTTCTTGGGTCTGGTAATGTTTGTGTTGCTCTGTTGCATTATCGGAATATAATTTCATGTTTTTGTTTTTAGCCTTGTCGAGTTTTGCTGCTTTTCTTCTTTTTCCCCTTCTAGGAGATTCATACTTTCATGATTTATGTAAAGCTATTTACTCGTCCTCTACTCTTCATGTTAGTTTGGAATGACCATCTTTCTTTTTCTTCTTTTTTGTCTTTTTGTTGATTTAGAGACAAGATTTTTGGAGTTTCCACCTTCTGGAGAGCTTGAGTGGTTCAGTAGCTCCTGTATCATCTAGATGTAATGTTTTTGTTTGTCGATCGGTTTTATTGCCAGGAGGAAATGAGGCTCCTATTCTTAAAGCAGCTGCAATGGTTTTTACTAGGTTAGTTCTTGACCTTTTATCCATTTTTACTATTAATTGGTGATGTGATACACACTGCATTTAGTTGTCTTCCAAGTGCATTTTCAGTTTTAAAGTGTGAATCCAGTTCATATGCACTTGAAATTTAATGAATTCAGGGCCTCTGATGCTTTACGTGGAAATCCTCAGTTGTTCAAACTGATCCCAGCTGTTGGGATTCTGGCGTTTGCTACATGGGGTCTTAGGCCACTGTTGCGACTTGGCTTGGTTGCCCTTTTCGAGGTGGGTCGTCATCGTCTGTAATATCTTTCATTATCTACTGTTCCTTGATGCCTTATTCTAGTGATCGCTTTCTGCGATTCAAATGTTAATTTTAGAAGGGGACTGATGCCAACTCAAACAAGAGCAGTACACATGTTGCGGTGTCATATCTTCAGCCTTTGTTGCTCTGGAGTGGTGCAATTCTTTTATGCAGGTGTACTTTCTCCCATCAATCTTTTTAGTCTTCTTGGGCTACTAAACTTTAATTCTTTATTGCTATAACCACATTGAAGTTGTCTTTCAGAACACTGGACCCGATAATTTTGCCTTCGAGTGCCAGTCAGGCTGTTAAGCAACGCCTTCTGAACTTTGCCCGAGCCTTATCAACAGTGCTGGCATTTGCCTGCTGTTTATCAAGGTGAGCAAGAGTGTCTGTGATGTGATCTCTAAGCTTAGATAAGTTAATATATCCTTCAGCTGACCTGATGACCTTTCAGTAGGTTCTTTCAGCCAGGTTTCATGATAAAGAATGTGCTGTTTGGTTTCATCTTTGAGTTTTGCCTTTTAAATTTCTGTTTTATTTCTCTGGTTTCTCTTTCATCTCGCCATTTTGGTGTTCACTATTTCGGCCATTTGCTCATTGTATAGTTCAAAGTTTCTTCAGTGTTCTATATAGTTGTGTCAATATTTGAATATTTACTTGTACATCTGTCAGAAATCTGTGTTTTTGTTCTATGTGCTTTTTCAGCTATTAAGCATTTCTGATGAAATCTGCGGTTTGATCAATGCAATATATATTATCTGCAGCTTGATTCAACAGGCACAGAAATTCTTTACAGAGACAAATAATTCCAATGATGCTAGGAACGTATGTCTCTCTATGCTTAACACTCTTGTTCTTATATTACTATTTCTCAGCCTGCTTTATTTTATTCATTAAGTAGTGATACAAGGCACCTTCAAATGCTCTGCCTTGTACTTGCTTCAAAGTTTAACAAGTGAAATGACCCCCATGCTCTATTAGTTTTTATCTCTTAGAAGAAATTGGTAATTGCCTGCGGTGTTTCATGCAGAATGCTTTAGAACCATCAGTTTTCACGACCATTAATGTTTTCTTTCCTGGAAACATCCTATTTTAAGGAGGGTGCATGTAAAGCGCTATTAACGGATCCTGTTTCTAAACTTTCCGCTCAATGCTATGGCAGATGGGTTTCAGTTTTGCTGGGAAAGCTGTATACACTGCTGCATGGGTAGCTGCTGTATCATTATTTATGGAGCTGTTGGGTTTCTCTACCCAGAAGTGGTTGACAGCCGGAGGTCTTGGGACAGTACTCCTCACACTAGCTGGTCGTGAGGTAATTCTTAACTCCTCATCTCTTGCAATACCCGCAACTCAGTACATGTGTAATAACCTTCTATGATGTCGATGAGGAACAACACTAGCGAGACATTTGTTCTTTGACGTTGATATAACGCAGATACTCACGAACTTTCTTTCAAGTATCATGATTCATGCAACCCGGCCCTTTGTTCTGAACGAATGGATTCAAACTAGGATTGAAGGCTATGAAGTTTCCGGCACAGTAGAGGTTTGTTTCTTTTTCAGTTATCGCTGTTACCGTGATTCTTAGCTACGATATCTACTGCTGCAGTACATAATGTAAACTTTGTTCCATAAGGATTGACCCTTTTTTTTTTACCAGCATGTTGGGTGGTGGTCTCCCACAGTTATAAGAGGTGATGACCGAGAAGCAGTCCATATTCCAAACCACAAGTTCACTGTAAGCGTGGTGAGGAACCTCAGCCAAAAGACTCATTGGCGAATAAAAACACATCTCTGCATCAGTCATCTCGACGTCAGCAAGATTAATGTGAGAGGGCATTCTTTTTTACACCCTGAAAATCCATTGACTAAATCTCAGTTTAACGAGTTTATGCCTTCGAATTTACAGAATATCGTGGCTGATATGCGCAAGGTTTTGGCTAAAAATCCTCAAGTGGAGCAGCAAAAAATACACAGAAGAGTTTTTTTGGAAGATGTAGATCCGGAGAACCAGGCCCTCAAGGTACGGAAAATAGTTCCCGACAACAGATTATACATAGTACGTAAAGAAGTGTTCATGTCTGTCTATGTATGTTGCAGATCCTAATATCCTGCTTTGTCAAGACATCGCGTTTCGAGGAATACCTGTGTGTTAAGGTAATGATAATGCCTTCAAGATTCGTTCTGAAATTATTCATCTGTGTAAAATAATCGTTGTGGTTTGAGATCGATCTAATAAATTTTTATACTTAAATACGTTTTTTTTCCCGGGCAGGAAGCAGTGCTCTTGGATCTTCTCAGAGTTATTAGGCATCACGGTGCTCGTCTTGCAACTCCCATCCGCACGGTACAGAGAATGCGTAACGAGGCCGAGGTGGACAGTGCTGCTTTCTCCGACATCGTTTTCACGCACGCATCTTCATCAATTAACCACCGTCGACTCATGCTGATCGAGCCGTCCTACAAAATCAACAGCAGCGACGAAAAAGCCAAGCCCTCGCCTAACTCGGCGCAAAGAATCGAAGAAACGGATTCTGAGGGAGAACAAGAGTCAGCATCATCGGAAACAGAAGAGGAATCAAAGAAAGATAGACTGAAGACAACATCCCCGATTTCGAACTCAAAAGCAGAAGAGAAGGAAAAGGAAGGGGAGGGAGAGTTGAAGAAGGCTGTGGTTTCGCAAGAGAAGAGGGAGGGTGGAAATGTTACGGCGCTGGAAGAGAACATTGTTCTCGGGGTTGCGTTGGAGGGTTCAAAGCGTACGCTTCCGATCGAAGACGAGGAGGAGGAAGCGGCCGATGAATCCGAAGAAATCGGATTGCGATCAGAGTGATAGTCCCAAAATGAAAGGAAACTGTTTTTGTGTGTGTGTGGAAGTGAGAGAGCGCGGCTCTGTTGGTTTTTTTAGGTGAAGAGCTGAGCGCTCAATGTCTGTAAATATCTTAACCTATTTATCTTGAATGCTTTGAACGAGTTTTTATGAAAGAAGGCATTTATGAAATAGGCGCTTAGAAATCAAACTCTAAAAAAATCTCATTTTAAAAATAAAAATTCACAAACTTTCTCTCGTATGCTCGTCAAAACAATGAAAGTTTTGATTGGTTATATCAATGCGTTTGCAACACGATTTGTGGATATTTTCGGTGTGTTTGTAAATTGGTTGTCGTCTATTAATGCTTATTATCGGTACCAAAATATAGGGGGAAAGTTGCAATTAGATTTTTTGTTTCATATATACACCGTTGATTAGACCGATCGTTTTTCCACTCGCCAGAAGTTGCAAACGCCGCGTAAACGTCGAGTTTACAGACGAATGTGGAGTGGGTTGATGAGAACACTGATTGATTGACGACATCAAAGACGCAGCTGCAAAACAAATGTAATAGAAAAATCCCATTTCTACCTAACTTGGCTTCAAACAATAACGGTTCTCTAATTCTTCTACCTCCTCCTATTCCTTATACTCAACCTTCCTTTCTTCTACTTCTGTCCCCCCACACACATACACCCCTGACAGAATATGACTCCTTTGAGCCGAGCTCTTAAGATTCAATCATTTCTATAATCACAATCCGAGATCCCTCGGCAAAGCTACCATCTCTTCATTCTCGTCCGGAGGTGTGAGCCGTGGCCTTTTCGCAGGTTGCTCCTTGGGTTCCTCCTCATCACCATCCTCTCCCGTTTCATCACTTGGTTGCTCCACCATTTCAAAGTCATTATTCCCATCTCGAGTCTCATCTTCTCTGTCATCATCCTTACTCGATGGAACCACAGGTTCTACGTTATCAGTAGTTGTAGGCTCATCACCGTTAGAATCCGCAGCTGACGAAAATATCTCAGGCTGTGTGGACGGAGATAATGTATCTCTAACCGGGCTTGGATTGGTTTCCTTTCCATGGATGTTGCCGATATTTTCCAATGTAATGTTTTCTATGATACCAATATCGTTTGAATCGTCGGAGCCTTTTGTCGAGGATGTTTCAGATGATGAATCACCATCACCTTGTCTTTGCACCGTCATCCCCAGGTTCCAGGATGTGTCAGTGTCAAAACCACCAGAACCTCTAGGAGTAGCGGTTTCGGTGAATCGCTGAAAGCTACTCTCCCCGGAGTTTAGGCACATGAATTGCTCACCAGCTTCTGTGTCCACTTGCTGCAGAAAAAGCAACACAAAGGGGAAAGGAATAAAGATAAAAACGCAAAAACTATACATCAAAACCAAGAGATTTGATAATCGGAAACAGCCTGTTTGTTCCCTTGAATCTTGGTATACCTCTCTTGACAATGTAGTATCACAAAGATGATAAAACGAAGATGGTTCCTCGAAAGATTGTAGTTGTCCAAGTAATGATCCTGTAGCAGCTCCTGCATCGAACAATTCCCTCAGGACAATGCCAGATTCATTACCACCATCCAAGTTCCTTGTGGGAGATCTTTCAAGCAAAGTCATTTCGATCCCCTGACCGTCCTGGGACTGCATCATATTCACTGAAACAACCTCGACGCCCATATTGTTCTCCTCAGCCACTGGACTATCAAAGGACTGGTTCTGTTCACTACTGGCTTCCGGTGAACGGTTTTCAAGGAGTTCAAATATCAGCTTCTGAATCAGGGTCCGCTTCAGTGAAGCCTCGGCAGGAGGAAACCAGTTCAGATAAAGCTGCACAAAACGTAGTGTGTCATGATCAGCAGACCGAGTATAATACCATTACTTAAAAATAAACTGATGATAACCACACAGGAACCCGTAGAATTTAGCCCAGAGTACAAACGTAGAACTGATTCCTTCAAGAAGCAAACTTTTTCAGCATGGCGAAAAAGTAAACACCCAACAAATATAAGTTTTACAAGAAGCGGATTTCCTTCAGGTTAGACGGATCTCAAAAGCAATCACCACTAAGAGAAATTGCAAAATCAGATAACACAATTTTGGTCGAAACTAAAAGCAGAATAACCAAAAGAGAGAAAGTTGGCATTGATTGCAGAGGGAGAATATTGAGTTTTGAGAGGTGCAGGATCCACTAATGGCAAAATGAGAAACTGGACTTAAGTGTAGAGTATGACATCAAAATTTGATCTATAAATGCACTCAACGCCATAATTTGAGATTAAAAAAATAAAATTATTCAGGGTTCATGACCAATACCCTCAAAATCCTACAACTACGGGTTTCAAATTTCTGAAAACTAAAGGTTGCATTTACAATGTAGACTTACAAAGTTGGAAGCCCTTGATATTGTGAAAAGATTGAAATCGTGTGGAGCTTCAGCAAGAAAAAGCTCCAGATAGTGCAGCAAAAAGAGGCCACAATCAAATGAGTTTTCCTGCTGTGGCAACTGAAACAAAAGCAAAAAAATGTGACATCAATTTAACATCGCACAGTTCATAATTAAACCGACAAAGAAATACAGAGTAAGAGATTTGTTTAAGATGAAACAGCGAACCAATGTGTTTACATCACAAAAGATACAAGGGAAACAGAATACAGATGGCAACAGCACCATAGCTATATCAACAAAGGCCAGAGATCGATTAAAAGTTTTACATGAGTATCAGACCAAATTCATATAATCTAATCAAATCTAGAGTGATGCTTTCACTGTAAAGCACAAGGAATAGTAGCAATATTGTGCTTAATCAATCGGAAAAAAGTAACCAATACGTAATTTTCAAAAAGAAAAGGAATTAAACATGATTTTGCCACCTGTGAGTTTGATAAAAATTTCTAATCTACACTGTGGGTGAAGTGAGAGGAACAAGAGAACATGGTAAATATGAGAGGATTTTCAAAAATGAAAATTTCTGAAAAATAAAATCATTTGTATGACCCAGGAAATTCTCAAATCTACCAAGGATCAGCAAAAATACCAGATTGCATGTAATGTGATGTGAACTAAATTCACACAACAGAAGGATAATATATGAAGGACTTTTCATATTTCCTACTGAGTCAGGCAACAGCAGAAGATTTAAAGCCTAGGGGCAACACCTCAAGTGAGACAAACCGCAAATTCAAGAACTTCGAAGAAATATCATCCGGTGTCTCCTTATGCCTCTCCTTCCACTCCTCGCACAAGTAACTAAGAGTAGCCAAAAAGTTATAGTCAACAGATCGCATGATGGAGCTTTAAGCTAGTACATGAAAACTAATAAACACGATCCGAGAAGAACAGCGTGCATAGATGGAAAAAAAATGTGCAGAGTGGGGAACTAATCCACCACATATTCTTCTGCTATTCAAATAAAAGAGGGTGTGAGGAAAAGATGCTATGTCCTGTCACTGTGAATGCTTATCTATATATAATACACATTGCTTTCAAAATCATCAGACACGGATCAGAAGACGAAACAGAACACGGCTGTAAGGGAGCTAATATACCTTTGGACAAGATTCTTAAGCCCTGCATGACTTCCTCTGATAGAATCCATATGTAATATGCATGGCACCTTTCTGGAGTTATCCAAGTCTAGTTCTGCAGATAATAAATTAAAAAATGATATATAGATGTAATAAACTGAATTATCATGAAACGATCAAATACACAGTAATATTCCATGCTACCTTCATAATGAGCGACTTCACCAGGGTGACAGAGGACAATTAAACTCCAGTGAAGACTAACATTAACATTTAGCAATATCAGATCTCAAACTCATATGTAACTGAATTACTGAAACAGCAATAACATGAAGTTGTTCGTACTTGAAGTTTACAGGAATAAAGATGAAATCCTTCGCAAATATGTCCACCTTCCTTGTCCACTTACGGACACGTTGAAAAGCAGCCTTGCCATCTGCTATACTTGATGGATCTTTGTCGAGATCAGCTAGCTTCCGAAAGAAAAAGCTGTTGAAGAAATGGTATCTATGCATTTCCTCGGGTTGAATCCGATTCTTCAAATACCTGTAAATCAATCAAACGTGTAGATCGGATCAATTAAATTGAAGACTTTTCAGTAAAAGCAGGTATGATCTACCAACAGCACAACAAATAACCTTTTCTACCATGATAAAAGAAGCATCGCAGAAGTTTATAATAGTCAATATAAGACATGTCATAGTTTCATACATAGTTAAAATAATATCCCAACAGAAACAGTATACCACATCACATCAGAGATATTGAGTTGAACAGAACTCACTTAATATAGAAGTCTACGATTGTGTCGTTGACAAATGTCTCTGGCTGCAAGAGATCCACATCTCTTTTGCAAATGGAAACAGCATCTGGATCTCCCTTTGGATAAATGACATCCTCAAAAGTTTCATCAAAACTACAAAAACATTCATAAAGCTAGCAATTAATATGGATTGCCTGACAATTTTCAAGAAAAACTCTGTACCGTAGTAATGCAAATGAAAAGGACATTCAGAACAAAGTGCATTTAAAACTTCTCTAGTTCTGGAAAGATTATGAACGTTAGTTCTCCAGTTTTTAATTCCAATGAAAAGAATTATCATCTACTTAGGAGTCAGGATGTTGATTAGGGTTACAAATGATTGATGCAAGAATGTACTACATATATCTTGAAAGGCATGAGAAAAAGCTTTAATCTTGTATGAAGGAGCATTAGTAGTTTCCATATGCTTTCCACTTTATTACAAGATTTAAAAAACTCAAACATACCAGGCGAAAAAAGTTGAGCATGCCTATCACTAATCTATTATGGCAAAGTAAATTATGTGTCAAAAAAAAAGAACTCATCATTTTTTACCCTAAAACTCATTAATAAGACTCTTTATTCCTTCCATCGCACAAAATAAACTAATTATACCCAAGACGAGGCTACAGGAAACAAATGCTCAGTAATACTTCAGAAAACGGAATTAATCCATGTATGAAACAATTTGCAAGTTCATCTTAAAAATAGAACGAAAGACAACATCAGATTCAAGAATACCATAAAACTTCATAAACCAATTAAAAGGAATGATGGAGATGGATCTAGTCTTCCTTACCTTGGAAAATAATGCCTCCGGTGAGACAAATGATCCTCAGATACTTCCATGTTGCAGCTACAATATAATGAATCAGTTAACCAAGTCAGATGGAAGAAAACAAGTTGCACCAAAGTTTACAATTTACCAAAACCAAAAGAAATTCAGTTGCTTTCAAGACTTGGTTAGGCTTTCCCTCTGGAAGTTTGTCTTTGCCTTAATATTTGGTTTGCTTTACACTTAAATCTTTGCTTTGATACTTGCGTCAAAACCATGTATATTGAATAAAAAAAAGTAATATCCATGCGTAAAGTATGATCTGACATACCGAATACATCATTTGGGCTCTAGTTCCAGAATAATCAGGGAGGATAGACACTTACTTGGGCTCTGCATTCCAGACAGAACGGTATTTCACATTCAATGAATTGATCTTTTGTTGTTTCTCAGGCCAATTATACTCTGCAGCCGCAAGTCTCAACTCCTTAATAACTGAAACGACAGGAAGCAATAAGAAGACTTGGAGAGAGAATCCCTTGTGTTGAAAAGTCTTAATGCTTAAAAGACCGCTACATTCAGAGGAGCATTTAGATCATTCGAAGCAAATGAAAGTTTTGTGGTTTCTGCAATGTAATAGCTTACTAGTCGGTATTTTTTCTTAGGCAAAATGAAAAGGAAAGCAATTAGATGAAACATCTCCTGTGTGAAACCATTGATCATTTTAAGGACAAAAATTGAGCAGCTCCTCTTATACAAACTAAATGAGAGTCACAAGCAATTTGGAAGATATACAAAATCAGCTAGTCTATTGCCACTAAAGCATTAAATGCTAAACAAGAAATTAAAGTACCTAACTACCACTAGGTTATCCATTCACCACAGTTTCTACCTTTCAAACACTCTCCTGTTTTTTTTTTCTTTATTCCAACCAAACCAAAAAAAATGGAAGAGTGAAATAAAAACTAGAGCATTTTAAGCACTTCTTAGTTACTAATAAAAGCATTTAGTAGCCTGCAAAAACCACCGGGAAAGAAATGATGATTATGCTTAGAGATTTATGCAAAATCAATACCATGCTGTACACAATGTCTTGCAGTAAAAGATTACAAATTAGTGAAAAGAGATGCAGTCGCTACCAAAGGAGAGAGCAGTCTTTAAGAGTCACTATATGCAGTAAACCCGCCTAAATAACCCCAATCATTGTCACATTTTTCAAGTTTCCTTCAGAGTAGCTACAGCCTACATGATGAGCCCTAAATTTAAAAGACCGCTTCTCAACAGAAATATAAGAAACCAATACTATTAGAGATCTAAGTTGACTATTTATATAATCATAACAAGATCATTTGTAGCCGATAAATGCAATGTGACGATGTAAATGGAAGTATACAACAATTAACAGACCTGTACTGTGTTGCAGATCCTCATAACATTCTTCATCATTCAATAGAACTTGGATTTTCAGAGTGACCAATCCAACCTGCAAAAAATATCGGAAAAATTGTAACACTACAAGAATCCTATACCCATAATAAAATAGCAGTCTAGAAAATATCTTCTGAAAACAAAAGTGTGCCCCAAACAAACGACAAACTTAAAACTCACATTTTGGAACCAATTGTCTTCGATATTTACAATGTCTTCAACTCTCCAATCATATGAATATGGCCCTTCCTCATTATTTACAGGATAACCCTTGACAATGACACTGTTGCATGAAAAGATTACCAAAGATGCAGCAGAAGGCCTATCCTTAACATATTCTGGGAACATGAGCACCGCCGCGTTTATGTCAATCTGCAAATAGGAAAATCGTCCCTCAACATATTGTAACTCTTACTTTGTACATTCCAGACAGTTCTATTTAAAATATACAAACATGCATGTATCAGCCAGCATCCTTAGACATGGCATTGGATTAATAACCAATGTGCAACCATTTATTACACATGATAAACAATGGAAAGAATGTTTTTGAAGCTGAATAAAGAAAGACGTCAAAACGAAAAAATCACAACAATTTGGTTAAAGGTAGCAGATGACAGCATTTTCATTTAAAAACAATAGTTTAACTAAATGAACAACTAAAGACACCAAGAAGTTCAAACCAAAATGGGGATAAGATGAACACGAAATAAAAATATCATGTCAAACATGAGACAGCGGAAGAAAAAGAGTCGACATGAGGTGGTAAAGATATCATCTTAACTTGTGGTACATCTTCTGGCAGCTAAATGGGACGACAGACTAGTTTAAAAAAAAAACTTGAACTACAATAATCTACACTCAGACGAAAGCCAAACAATCATGAAAAACGAAAACCATTACCGTATCCATATCATCGAAATAATGTTCAGCTCTCAAATTTTTGAGCATATCTGGCACAAACAAAAAACAATATGCGGTGAGACATAAGAATGCATCCTCTCACGGAGATAAAGAAACCATAAATTGTAGATTCATCACATTCTGAATCAGAGGCCAGGCTCTGTGCAGAACGATCACTCAAGCTTTCATCACTAGCTGACATGGTATCAAATTGGTCCTCCTGCAAATGTTACGTCCAGGAATAGCAAGCTAAAAATTTTAATGCCTTGAAGTAAGTGAAGTAAGAAAAATAAACAAGATTTACATACATTGGGCGAAGAATCGGAAAAGCGTGAGTTTAGCTGGTATCGGCTAGGTGAAGAAGTTTCACCAGAATCACCACAGAAATTCTTTGAGCTTGTCTGAAGAGAGAAAATCCCAGTTCCATGATTGACTTGACCTGCATCTGTTTCTTTTTCATGGTCTGCCAATGCCCACCGAAATTCACCATTCTGCCTTGAATCCTCAGCTTCTGCCACAACAGTAGGTGCATCTTCAGACATACAGTCACTTTCAACATCATCAGCTTCTACATGACTTGAATTTCCCAGTTCTTCTTTCTGAATGACATTTTGTTGGCAAACTGGAAAAATATCAACTATGTCAGACAGCGATCCGCTTGGATTCTCCAAGAATTAGGGTTTTGGAAGACAATAAACATAACAAAACGTGGAACAAAACAAAACAATGTCAAAGACAAATTCGAACATTACATGCCTTAATCAGAAAACGTAACAAATCACCCAGAGATTTGGAACAGAACCAGCAAGTACATTGCCTCCGCCCCACACTTTCAATATCGAGAAACTATGCATTATTCTTACAAAATTCGTACTAAAACCTGTGAGAACAGAAATTCTCTCATCTTAGCTTGTTTTTGTCTCCGATCCAAATAGCTCAACGCCCCCATACATCTCCAGAATTGAAACTGGATCGAGAGATCGAGATTGCAGACTCAAAATCGAAGGACGAAGAGGAACAACTTACAGTTTCCAACGCAGTGGCGTTGTCGAACCGGAGAATCTCCCGGGCTAGGGTTTCCGAGCTTCATCAAGAACTTCCCAGAATTGAGTTCCCCGAGCTCGTCCACTTCTTTGGGATCCAAATCTTCGACGTTTCCTTTCATCTGTCGGAGACCTAAACCAAAGCCACCGGAAAACGCAGAATCCTCGTCGGTGGTCGGAGATCCGAGATCGGAAGTAGAGAGAGAGACGAAATTGAGACGAGTCAACAAGGGGCCGGGCTGCCTGAGAAACCAAACGGAATACCTGTGAGCGCGTCTGAGGTTCACGCGCGAAGGTATTTATACGAAGGCAAAATCGTCCGGAGAAATTAGGGTGTAACCTTTTTTACGGCATGAAAAATTTGCGATAATTCAAAAATCACATAAAATTAATAATCCATCATCAGTATTAATAGAAACATAAATTTTAAAAAATAATAATAATAATTTATCTCTCAATTAAAGCAAAAGAAAATATTATGTCCTTATTGAAAGAAAATAATATTATTTGGGTGTTAATTATAAATGTATACAAAATTTTAGATTGCAATTTTAAAATTACAATTATAGTACGGTTGATCTTAGCCTTAAATCTCTTCTAACGCTTATAGTTTTGAGAGTTGATTTCTAGATTTTAAAACTATATAATACATTAAATTACAAGTCAATTTTAATATTCCTTTTGCTAGGGAAAAAAAACATAAGCGTGTCGATCTCTATTGTTAAGCTACCACCCTCCTGCAAATCTCCGTAATTAATGGTCAGTTTTTTTAAATGGAAAACAAATAAAAAATTATGGTATCGGTCGATTGTTGACACGTGGAAATCATGAGACACTCCCAAATGACGGATTTGCCCTTTTTTAGGAGACGCCGTACGGCAGAGCTCTCCGCTTCCACATGAGAGAGAGAGAGAGAGAGAGAGAGAGAGAGAGAGAGAGAGAGAGAGAGAGAGAAAATACAAAAATAAGAGAGGCAAGCAAAGGAGACACATGCGGTTTCCACATGCATATATGTTTTTGGTCCTATGCGTCTGAAAACACATATATATAAACTCACTCTCTGCTCTCATCTTCTTCGTACAACACAACTCTCAGTTTGGTAGTGTTATCATATATCCTTCTCTCTTCTTCTTCCTCTTCCTCTTTCATCTGTCTATAATCTCTCCTTGAAAATATTTTTGAGAAGGAAAAAAATGTCGGAAGCTATGAACATATCCGTGAACGGACAGTCTCAGGTGCCTCCTGGGTTCAGGTTTCATCCGACCGAAGAAGAGCTCTTGCAGTATTACCTCAGGAAGAAGGTTTCTAACATCAAGATCGATCTCGATGTTATTCGCGACGTCGATCTCAACAAGCTCGAGCCCTGGGATAGATATTACAGTTGAGTACATTACTTACACATCAAACAACAACAACAAAAAAAAAAACATTCTCACAAACAAATTGGATAATCACAGGGTGAGACAGAAAATTAAGGAAAGAAGAAAAGACAAACACAAAACGAAACATAAACAAAGATTTAGTGTCTCTCTATCTTGTCTTGAAATAATTACCAGAGCCCTGAAGGTCAACCCCACCATTGATGAACTGCAATTCCTTCATCCCTAAGTTTCCCATACAATGCCAAACACTCCCAGTAAGCCCTACCTCCATTGTTGCTCTGGCTTTTCCTCCCTCCGAACCCTAGACCCTTTGGCTTGCACTCCAAGAAAAGCTCGTCCACCATCTTTATCGTCTTGCTCCTCACCATCTCCTCCACCACCTCGGCCTCCGCCTTCATCACCACGTATTCCTCCTCCTTCACATTCTCTCTCATCCATTCCGACATTCCCATTCTCTGCGGTACCGAATCTATCTCGAGATTCATCTCGTTGCTGTTACTCTTTTCTTCGCTCACTGTCTCTATCTTGTACATCTCGAACTCCAGGTTCCTCGTCGGGTAATTCTTTGCAAACCATTCCGTTACGCTCACTCCTTCCTTCTCCGAGGCTCCCACCTCGATAAACACTCGTCTCGGGTAATTTCCGAGATCCAGCGAGTCGCCCATCAGGTCGGGAAGATACCTGGTTCGTTTCAGATACGTTCTTGATTTTCTTGACGAAGCCCTTGGAGGCTCCAAGAGGACATCCTCCAGCTTGTTCAGTGCCCTTTTCCTGGCTTCATCAGACGAGATATCGAGAAGCTTTCTTTTCGAGAACGAGTTCTGATGAATCTTTCCCGTGTAATATCCCGTTTTCCTCATCGCCAGTATCGTGTATTGGAAACGCCTCAAGTAGACGATTTCGTAGTTAGAAGGTTTCGAGAAGGATGAAGGAGGAGGGCCTTGACGAGTGAACTGGACAGCGAGAATGCCCCCAACCTTGAGGGCTCGGTCTATAAACTCAAAAGAGCTGAAATGGCGAGCATACGTGAAGGCGAAATCAAAAGCCTCGCTCGGAGTACTGCTCTGCCTCTCTTGATCAGTCGCGGAAACGAGAAAGATCTCGTCTTGATTCAAAATGCCAGAGCATCCAGAAACAACGAATCCGTCGCTGTCTTCTCCATCGTTCACGAAAAGGGTTTTATCTCCGAGCCGGAAGAGACCTTCCTTCTCCAGATCACGGAAAAGCAAAGGCAGGAGCTCGGGATTCTCGGCATCGGACTCAAAGTGATCGACCGATTCAGCAGCAATGGCGGTAACACCAGATCTCAGGAAACTTAACCAAGAAAACGACAGAAACAGCAAAACCAAAAGCATCGATCTGACAAGGAGGGCGAAAACTCCAGAATGAGGAGCCCTGAAGCAGGTTTTGTTTCTGAAGAGGAAAGGAACATGCTTTTGGGACATGGAATGAAGAAAGTCTTGAGTGATAACAAAAAGCCCCATACTTTTTTTTCTTGTCCTAACCTCAGACAGGACGAAACAACAAGTAAAAGGTTGTGGAGGAGAAATCCGAATATAAAAACAAGAAGAGATTATTAGAATAATAAGCAGGAAAGAAGAAGAAGAAGGAGAAGGAAAAAGAGGAGGAGGAGAAGAAGAAGAAGAAGAAGAGTTCTAGCGAGTACAGAACCTAGCGGCAGTGTGATTCCCACCAACGAGAGAGGAACGGTTGGATTGCTTATTAGACCAAAGGGACATCAACTGCCTAATCCTCTGAACCTCCATCATATTCTCTCTCTGTTCCCACCTCTGCTCTTTTTACAGACACATATAATATATACACATATGTATATGTATGTATGTATGTATATGTCTTTTTTTTTCTTTTTGGAGTTCTGTCTGCTGGTTCAGAATTTCAAGACCAGATCCTCGGATGTTGCCTCCTTATGTTCCTTTTCATCTGTGGCGTTATTTGAAGGAAAGCAACATGGGATGAGAGCAGAGGAGCTTTTTCTTGAGGCCCAAGTTTTCTTTTTTTTTTGTATATTTTTTTTCCTGCAAGAGAAGATGGGAAATGAGAATGAGAATATAAAGGGGTGTGATTTTGTTGCCATGCTTCACGCAAGACCTCTCACTATATTTAGCTCTTTCCTCCAAAATTCATGGGCAATAACTTGCACTACAAGTAATCTCATCACCTCTGTTATTAGGTTTTCAGCTCTCTCTCTCTCTCTCCCCGTCACGCCTCTCCTGTTAATCTTATCCATTACCATTCCCTGTCAATTACGTGGGGTATAAGTCCCAAAATCTTACAGAAAATAACTGTGCCACAACAAAATAAAGGGTTGGTTATGCCCAAAGACGTGAATAAATCAAATCATGTACAATATAATATCGAAATGGTCAACGTATTCATCCATAAGCAATTATTACCACTCTGAATTCCATGTCATATTCAATTATATGAACCCATAAGACCTCCAAGTAAAATGAAATAAATGAAACTACAAATCAAGATAACACAAGGTCGTACTTGTATACATCCTCTCTTTGTGAATGCGGACTAGGTAATAAAACGATAAACTCCTCCCACCATCATGAAGGTGAAACAAGAGAAATAACTCATCTCCATTAAAAAAAAGCTTACAGGGTGTGTAGCTCAAAAGTTCCTACAGAAGTGACAGAAAATTTTCTTACAGCACCGCAAAGTTTGTCAGGACCGGTTGTACCCATTCAAGAGCTCGCTCGTATAATGCCACCTCGATTTTGAGATGCAACATCCACGTTTTCTATTCCTGAACAGAGGAAAAAGAAACGCAGAAACTTTAGTACAAAAAAAGAAGAGAATTACCCACAAAGAAATTTAATGCAGACAGCCCAACAAGGTCTTTGTGCGAATTTAGAGACAGGCATCAGCCAGTGAGGTAACTAGAATAACATTGAACCGTTACGCTACCACATCAACTTATGGCTTCTGAGATAAGGTTCTATTGATGCCACAATGATCAGATAGTACACCTTAGGCTTATTCTTAGTGATGTTAGTTCTCAAATGGATGCATAAAACCACCTTTATTAAATATCCCTATGTCTAGGGTCGGTCAGAAGGATTTTGGTTATATGCGCACTCTGATCTCTAGATGATTGGGTTCCAAACCAGTTTCAGTTCTAAGCCTAACCAAAATTGTTGAGATATACCATGAAAATGCCAGATTAGCAGATCAGAACTATCAGAACCCATCATCAGGACATGGACCTTTACCCAAAAATGCCTATCCAAATTGCTTATTCACGACTTTGCATTGAGCGATGCTACACGAAAAAACATTTTTTGCCATCATGTAGACAGCATTTGCAGCTCATGCTCCCATGAGATAACAGTTGTAAGGTGGTTTGTAAAAGCTACAATAGAAGGAAAGACAAGGTATATACATATGAGGACTCCTTGCTCTTTCTAATGCTAAACAGTTCAGCATACCAAACCATCACTTGCCACAACCACTTTAATTTTGGCCGACGTCCAAACCCCAGCTCATTTTGATCCCAATCCTAAAAGCATCTTAGCAAGTTGCAGGTAAACCATAACCATGGTTTTGCTATCTAGTTCTACAGCCACAAAATCACACACTAAGAAACAAAACACTTTAAGAACTCTAACCTCCATAGGAGCAGATCCATCGTTCTCTTTTTGTTCCATCTTTCCGTGTTGAGCATCAGCCATGCTTTGATCACCAGAAAAGGACTTTTCATGCTCTGTGCCTTTGCTAGAATTAGTGTTATCATCTGGAATAATCAGATCTGCAGGAAGCTGGCCAGACTTCAAAGCCTGCTCGTGAACAAGCCAAATAAAAAGAAAACGGTCAAAATTAACCTTACAGCATCATAACAACAGTAACACACTTGATCAGAGCATGAAGGGACCTGTTCAAGTCTTGCAACTTCTTCTAGCGTCTGGGAGTTAACAATGGCAGCCTGGAACATCATGGAAATAAATCATCATCGTTACTATCAAACATTAAAGGTTTCACGTCCTTGACAAACATGACTGAGTTGATAGAGTGTATCTCTTATTGCTATCTAATCCCCATTTCCAATTCTCTTTCGCCTACACCAGAAATTAATTCCAGGTTCTTATTTTGGTTTCCATCTTGGGAGAGAACTTATATCATGGGTACCTTGGCATACTGAAAATATCAAATCATCGCACCTTGATCGCTATAATCTGTTCTGGTGTAGGAGCAACCACTTTTGGAGTCTCTTGTTTTTCTGCAGTATCAGACGCATTCTGAACTTCCTCTTGGGTAATGGTTCTCGCAGCTACCTTCTTTACCTCTTCTTCAGCTTCTTTAGTTGCAAACAAATTTGCTGCTTCAGCCCTCTCCTGAAATAAAATAAGATTGTCGACATTATTGCTTTCTTTGCTTCTTCTTTTTTGTTAATAGACATTACTGTCTGAAACCCATTTCCTAGTATTGTATTTCCCAATATAAAGAAGTTAGGGAGTCAGCCAATACAGAGGAAAAAAAACAGTACAAAGGATCTAAACAACCCTGAAAATGCTCGTTTCTCATTATTCAGAGTATGAGACAATCTTTTACAAGGCCATCTCGTACTGCAAATAACTCAACTAGATAAAACAATAAATTATAGTCCACCACAAGATTAAATATTATATAAACCCCTGAAGTCTAAAGCTTGAAGAAGCTATGCCAACCAGTCACATTCAAATCCAAACATCATTAGAAATGTTAGCCTTTTAATTGAAATGTAAAAAGAAACAAATTCTAATTCAGAAATACAAAAACAGTTGGTCACCAGAGTATAAAAGAAAAAAAGGAACACCCTCCCCCCTCACCCTCTCTCTGATGTCCTTTTTCTTCTGATAGGATAAATCATTTCCAAACTAATAACTTCAATAACTAGGAATCGTAGCGTAAGCCAGACCAGAGAAAGAATGAAGCAAAGAGCAATGCCCTCACCTTGGCCTTCACTTTTTTGAAATCAAGTACTCTAAGTGATTTTAGCTTGTGAATCACATAAAGGCGATAATTTGGCTTTTTGGTGATGTTATTATCCAGCAAACTAAGGTACTGCAGCTTTGGAATGGATGCAAGTGGATCAATTTCGATCAAGTTCACAAGCCTGTTGTTCGTAAGAATCAAGGTGTGTAGCTTCGGTAGGAATTCTGCAAAAGAACGTCCATATGAGAACCACATTTAATCAAGATAGAAAACAACATCTTTCGAAGTTCTATCAGAACCTGCGATGAACTAACCTCCAATGTTGGGATTTATTCGGGTGATCCGATTATTATTTATGAGCAAAGTGCCCAAGCGGTTGAGGTGCGGAAAGTTCTCTAACTTGACTATCTCATTGTCTGACAAATCAATTGTATCGAATTGGTCCTGTAATCAAGTCAGCATAAGTCAGCTGTGACACATAAAGATGATTAGCAAAATGAAACTTAATGAGAAGAAGTAACACTGTGACAGATTTGAAAATGAAACTGTCTAGCGTCTAACACAACAACATTTTTCTGGGTCAGAATTCCACATAATGAATCTACTATCACAGCCAAAATCTATCAAAAGAAGCCAATTAATAGCTTCCAAAACAAAACGATCAAAACACAGTCGCCCACATGTCTGAATGGATCGATAGGAAATTCCACCTAACACGGAACGAAGAGAAGAACCGGCAAACGGAGAAGAAGAAGATACATACGAGGGAAAAAAAAACACAACAAAATTACAGTGAACAATTCGAGCGATAACAAACACAACACAAACACATTTGAGCCAGAAACAAAGCCGAGAAAAGGACAAAACCCGATAAAAATGTCGGAAGACGAAAGATGGCAGTACCTCAGTGGCACCCAAGTTCTCGATTACGGAAATCTTGTTGCCTGCAGTAAAACAAGGCGAAAAGGGTTAGCAGGAGTTAGGGTTTTCCAAAAACCCTAGGAAAAATGTACAAAAACATGGGCGATAAAATCATTGCCTCGGAGATCTAATTCACGCTCCTTGATGGCGTTGAAGAAATGAGGGCTTTTCCAAATCAAATCAGCCGTGAGCTTCACCATCTTCTTCTAAGATTCTAGGGTTCCTTTGGGGTTTCTCCAACACATTCAGCAGAAAATAAGACTGGTGGAGTCCAAATAAGATTATTCTTAAATTAAATGGTAACAATTGTAATAAAATAATAGTTTAGGATTTATGTGTAATAAAATAAAATAGAAATGTTCATCTGCCATTACACCTAATTTATGGGCTCGTCTGTTTAGGCCCAAATCGATTTAAATATTTCGGGCCTTATTTCATAATTCTGAAACGACATAAATAGTCAGTCCAATGGAAACGATAAAAACCGTTAAAGAGCGGTACTAACGGTAAGAAAAAAAATGGTACGACTAAATATAAAATAGTTAGTTAAAATTTTGAAGATGAATTTTAGCTACGTTTTACTGCAACGTTCGATATAAAAGGGGGTGTTAGAGAGAGGAAATATTTTTAATTATTAATTTTCAACTTTTGAAAGGTAAGAATATAGCATGTAATCTCGAAGGATGAAAAAATATATAATATTTCATGAAATTACAGTAAGATAATATACATGTGGCTTCATATAATATGAATTTAAAGTGAGATAATATATGGTTTTGTTTGTAACATACAGTAGTGATCAATGATATAAAGAAAATATGAATGTGGATTGTGGGGAAAGGGGCCCCTTATGGATATTTTTTAAGGGTTTTTGAAAAATTTTAAAAGACATGTTGGAGAAAGATGAGATTACAATCCTTTGTCTTCTTTCTACTTGTAATATATATATATATATATATATACATGTTATTTTTCATTTTATTATTGAGTTTAAATTTCAATTTCTTTTTGTTATTATATTTAGCAACTTGCTCCGCATTGTTGCACTTTACTTGTAGCTAACAGAACATTTCCAACTCACCCATGATTACGCAATATATATATATAATGCGTGTGTAATTATGCGAAAAAAATGCTAAACTAGTATAATCCAATGCTTTTATGCATAAATGTTAAAACTAATACGAGGGTTAGTATATTATTTTTTGAATTAGCTTTCCATTTAAAAAAATATATCTTTAAAATATTTTATATCACTGTTTTTCAATTATAATTCATTTTAATCCAATTTTCATAAAAACTAAACTTTAAAATATTTTTAAACTATATTTATATTTATTCCGAATTTAATTAATCTTATTTTTAAAAATCACATCACATTTTAAATGGATTGAATATAAATACAATTATACGTTATTGGATTTATTTTTATTCCATTATATTTATTCAAACTAAAATAGTCAAATCTAATCAAAACATAATCTTCCACAATCATTAACAGAGAATCTTTTACTATTATGTATATGTGGATATTACAATGATTTTGTTTCTCTATGCATCATTTGATAAATATAATATTTTTATACCAAGCTTTTCCCGGTCGGTCCAAATTGTCATTACATTACAACGTACATCCAACCAAAAACACCGAGAACTCTAACGACGTAGTTAATACTCATTAAAAATTCTTTTTTTAATACTTAGCATTTGATTATTGTAATGATTATTTATTATGGCCAACACCTTCCTCAGAATGTTCATTTACAATAATGACTGACGAGTCTTTATATTTTTTTTTTTTAAATAAACAAATGGTTGTCTTGCATCTACTTTTAAAATAGGGAAAATCCTAAAATAATACCTGAACTTCGACAAAATAAAATCTAAATTTTATTTTTTATCACATAAAACCTGAACTTCATTTTTTAGTCAAAAATAAACCTGAACTTTATAATCTTTATCATTTTTAATCCTGTTACTGACGTGATATTCCGATATCGTGACACGTGGACGATGATGTGTCAAATACGGTCAAAATGTTGACTTGTCACGTAGGATGTCGGAACGCCACATCAGCAATAGAGTTAAAAATGACAAAGATTGTAAAGTTCAAGTTTATTTTTGACTGAAACATAAAGTTCAGGTTTTATTTGATAAAAAATAAAGTTTAGGTTTTATTTTGTCAAAATTGAGAAGTTCAGGTATTATTTTGGGATATTCCCTTTAAAATAATATCAGCATGGTATGTATATAAATTTATTTATTGTTTTACCTTATTTTAAGTTCAAAGTAAAACCTAACATAGAAATGAAATTTTAAATAATATCTAAGATAAGAACAATGTTGATGGAAACCAATAATTTCACAAGGCAAAAATAAACCGCTTTATATATACGATACTAAAAAATAAAAATGAAACCTTTTACCCAACCCACCTATATTAATAACGGTATTATGGAAGAGCAATATAAAACATATTTATTACATATCATATCTTTTAATGATAAATAAAAAAGATTATCATTTGCGATAAATAATGATAAAATAAATAAATGAAGTTTTACTTAAAAATCCACGTCATTCCCCACTATCGGAGCTGATCCTCACTTTTGTTCAAGTTTGAGCCTCGATTCCGCAAAGAAAAGAAACATTGGGGGTGAATTTAAAAATATGATAGTAACTTGCACGACTTTTAAAATGAATCCAAAGGGTAAAAGAGAAGACTTTAGGGTTACTTTTTGAGGACAAAAGTTTCCGAAATCGTGTATTTAACCCCCGAAGTTTTCTTATTCTCTGTCTTTTTAAACGATAAGAAAGTCGGAGACAGCGTAGTGAAGGGGAAGGAGAATAATACAGACTCGCAGATTTCACCGGAGGAGATCTCCGGCGAACAGAGAGAAAGAGAGTGTTTGCGTGTGCTCTTTTTCTCTTTCGTTTCATCGGTTCGATTTCAGTCTCCGTATCTGCATTTTGCAAGTCTCGAGTTCTTGGTTTTGTCTCCGACAGGTTAGTTTTTTGTTTCTCTACTCAGTAGTTGTCGAGAAGTAGAATGAATGTCGGGATGTTATCTGTAAGGGGAATCTGAATATGCGTTGTGTGATTCAGTCTTTTTCCTTATCTTGGACTTCTGTTACTTCGTTCGTTGCATTTCTTGATTGCTCAAGAGACGAAGATTATGAATTCTAGATTTAGGGATTGCTTTTCTGGATTCTGAATAGCAAGCATTTTGTCTTACTGTGCTCCATTCATTTTTATTGTTTGGCTGCTGAGAAAATGCGGGGAAAAAACGAGTGGTGTTATACTTGAAATAGCAAGTTTTTGATAGTTGAAGTGAAGAAACTTTTTGTTCTTGTGATTACTTACTCCAAGTTTTTTGCTTGATTTAGCTCAATAAGAAAGAAACCGGAGCAGGACCATTTGTTGGGATAGGGTTTTCTTCATGTTTTCTTTGTTCTATCTCCCCTAGTTTGTTCTCGGATGCCAAGCTAGAGAAAATGATCGTGGTTTGACACAGTGATTTGAGTAGTTGAATCTGTCTTTTTCTGTCGATGTTTGTTCCTTCTGTTCTTTGATTTGATTTGGTTTGGATTTTTTTGCCGGTCATGGAACTTTATGCTTTGGATGATGCTTTGATCCTTGGTGGCTGTACTAGTACTATATGAACCGGTGCATAATAATGATAATTCTTTTTGCTATTTTTTTTTTGCTCTCTGATTTTTTTTCCGAACCTTTAGTTAGGTTTGCTTTTATGACAATGTTGTTTTACAATTATGAGACGGTCTTGTGTATCAGCGCATAAATTTGTTCTATCATTTGGCAGGCAGGTGTAAGTTGGCAATGGCTACCTCCAAGCAATCACAGAATGTTAGGAACTTGATTTACCCAGGAAAGCATGCTTTGCTTCCTCCAAAAATTCCTTTTCCTAGCGTGTCAGCATCATATGCTGAATATATACCTAGTGAGTTTAACGGATCAAAGCCTGTTCGAAAGCCCAGAGAAGGAAAAGGGCACCACCAGCGGACTTCTTCTGAAAGCTATCTAACAGAAGAACAGCCTTCTTGGCTTGATGATCTTCTCGATGAGCCAGAGACTCCTGCTAGCAGATCTGGCCATCGGCGTTCATCAAGTGATTCTTTTGCATATCTTGATGCGGTTAACGCTTCAAATGTAAGTTTGACTCTGAATGATTTCAAATATAGGAGTGTGGTTCCTGCTCCTCAACGAGGAATTCAGAAGTTTGATCGTAGCCAAAAAGCCCAGGATGCCTCGTTGTACTCTGATGCTGGTTTTGTAAAACAAGATAATAGACTTTGGAATAATTTGATCGCCTCGGGGGCTCATCCTGGGTTGCTTCCTTCCACTAGAGAAAGCATTGGCCGCCAAAACATAGGAGCTTTGGCTATGTCTCAAGAAGAAGATACAGTAACATGTTCGCCAGCCGAAACAAAGAATTCTGCAGAAAGTCTTTCTCATAACCTAAATAAGGTGTCTCCTGAGAGAAGAATCCCCAATCCTTTTCCTGTCATTTCTGAAGCTGACAATACAAAACATTCCAAACAGTACGTGATTTGTATACTGTTCCTTGATTTATTATGCTTTCAAATTTCTTTTGATGGAAGGTATTCGTTCCAACTTTTTTTGGCCGAGATCTGTGGTGAATATGTCTATAACTTATTTTCTTTTTCAGATTGAGTTGCTTTGGACTTTAAATTCACTTCATGTAACATGCTTAGTTTGTATTTGCTGCAGGCAATTTGCGCAACGGTCAAGGGTACGCAAGCTTCAGTACATAGCTGAGTTGGAAAGGAATGTACAAGCTTTGCAGGCAAGGCTCTAAAGAACTCGATTTACATTTGGCATAAGAGGGGGGAAAATATGCTCTGAGTAAGAGTAGGTGCTTTAACACACTGAACCAGAACTTTTTATTTTTATTTTGTATCCGTAGGCAGAAGGTTCTGAAGTTTCAGCTGAGCTTGACTTTCTTAACCAGCAAAATCTTATTCTGAGTATGGAGAATAAATCTCTTAAGCAGCGGTTGGAAAGTTTAGCTCATGAGAAGCTCATCAAACATTGTAAGTTTCTTTTTGGGATGATATTTTTTTCATCTGATCCTAGTTTTTCCTGAAGTATGAATTTGTAGCTTTTCACTAGGTATTGGATGGTCTATAGATTGAGTATGAGCAGACTGATTGTTGCCCAAATTATTGGATTTTCTAAGGGTATTGTTTATATCAAGGCACAATAAGAACCATAGTTACTGTTCATAAACCGCAAAGAAATGCTGCCATGAGTTTCTGAAGGATTGGTGGAAAGAATGAGAGAGCTCGATGAGATTGTTATATTTGTGGACTTTATACAAAGTCAAACTGAAATTTATTGGCTGAGCACTTATCTGAGATGTGAGAGTGTTTGGAAGAGTGGATCCGGATTTTTTTCAACTTGCGATTGTCAAGTTTTCTTCAGCTTTATGACTATGAGAAAGTTCATGGAAATCAAACCTGCTGAGATATGTCTGAAACCCAATAGACTTGTTAAGAAATAATCACCTTTCTTCTCAATGGGTTTTCAGTCGGTATATGCTGGATGCATATTTTGATTCCGCATCATTTATACAAATGTTTAAATGACTTTCATCTTTAACTTATGTGTAAGACTTATTGCAACATGCTAGGGCCCTTAGTAGCCTCTTGCATGACTTGTTGGCTGCATAGAAGGGCTCTTCTTACATGTAGAATGGTTTTTTACTATGAAAAGGGAATGCATCTTGATAGCGAGTACAATGCATGAGGGCTTTTTTTGTTATCCAGTGGAACAGGAAGTACTCGAAAGGGAGATCGGGAGGCTACGAAGAGCCTTGTATCAGCCACAACAGGAACAAGAGCTGCCTCAGAAACCATTAACCAATCACCGGCGTGCAACTAGCAAAGATCTCGACTCTCAATTTGCTAACCTTTCCCTGAAAAGCAATGATCTGAGCGCTACCCATGACTCTACATCCACGACAGGTCAATTCCACGTTTAGTCAATCGGTTTTTCCTACTGTCATCAGCATCATGGGTCAGAACCCTGGTCAGCTATCTCAGAGCTCTCTGTCTTCCCACGCTGTTTGCCTCCTTATATCGTTGCATCTCTTTTGATTATTGACAAATAAACTCACCTGCATGCACCTGGTAGCCATTACCGAAAGCTTGTATTTTCCAGCAGATGGCTTGCCTGAGGTGGTCTAAGTTAAAGATCGCAAAACCAAAAGTACACTGATACATTGGGTTAGGAATATCGGAAGATACTATGATCTGTACGGTTGTCTGTTTGCCTTTTTATGATAAAGCTGCATTCCTTGACAGAGAATGCTTCATGTGAAGTTTGTGAAACATTTTGTAGAATTCTTAACAGGCCTTGAGATTCAGTTGCTTTACTTCAGATTAGCCTTCTTACTTGTTTTACTTGAAAGTTGTGTTTTCTTTCTTTTATGCAAAAATTTACCAATACATATCAAGGTTTGGCTCCTGAAATAGCCGGAGCTTCAAGAATGAAGTTCCGATGAGGTCCGATGACTGTTTCATCATACAAATGCTAGCAGAAGAACTGAGAGAAAGACGGGGAGAAGGCTAATGTCAGCGGAAGCAGCACGGTTGGGCAGCCTCGGGTAGTCATCGGGTGAAGGCATGACACATTCATCACCGTTGAAGAGAATTCTTCGGGGAAAAGCCCAACCTTCACTGAAGGTGAAGTTCCCTTGATCCTTTTTAAGCAGAATTTCTGACTGTACATTTCCAGTCTCTCCTGATTGAAGCAATACATCATTGTAGAAGGGAAGCCCATAGAACATAGCAGTGTCGTCTGGAACAAGACAAGACCCCCAGATTAATCAAGTGGGTATTGATCAAACAGGGGAGAAGAAGAGAAGAGAAGACAAGTGAACTTACTAAGGTAGCCGTACTGGCGAAGGGGCTTGTAGTTGAAGCTGAATACCTGTTGGATGCTCTTCAAATTCGGGTGCAACACCACCAGGTTCCATTCCGAGTAATTCTTTATTACGTTGAAGTTTGTTACCGTGACCTTAACCCTCCAATACTCTCTGTAATTCACTTTGACATGCCAGTGGACTTTTATTGGGCACATATGCCGTGTACACTGCACCACCGGTGGCACTTCCACAGTAGGATCTTGGTGCTGTTGCAGCAACTGAGGCGCCTCTCCTTTGCTGAAACAATCACAAAAACCACAGATATCACTTCTTCATACAATTTGTTTGCATCTTATCTTTTTAACTACATTGGTTAGCATTGCAGGATGAAAATAGAGTTCGAGCAAAACGGGTTTGAAGAGTTTTACTTGACACAGCGGGCCCCGGACAGACCTTGGCAGCCACAACTACACCTCTGGCAAGGAACAACAGTTTCGTTGTAGAAAGCAGACAACGAGACACAGCATTTAGGGGCCGGTGACGACTGAATCTGCGAATATACGCACGTAATATGCCAAGTTGCTGCCCAAAAAATGCATCATATAAGTCTGAAATCTAACATGTCTTCATATCTCTTAATCTTGCCAAATTTCTTTCAGTAGAAAAAAAAACACACTAGCGTACATACCTAGAGCCTGTTTTTTGTGACGCCTATTTTTCTCGGTGAACTTGGTCGGTTCAACAGAGGTAGCGTTCCCACAGGTATAACCCGGGACACCCAAGGTGAAATTCTCGGGAACAGAGAACTCGTAAGGCTCAGTATCGGAGGAACCAATGCTCATCTGGAAAGAGGAAGCGAACTTGGAAGAATCTTGATTCATGGACGAGATAAAGCCACCACGGCAACAGTTGGCGACCTGAAGGTTGTAGGGAGAACCGGGGAGGAGATCGACGATGACGGGATGACGTAGACAGCAATGAGGGGGCGGGGCCGAGGAGGAAAGGAAGGCGGAGCAGTTGCCTTGCTCGGTTGCCTCCGCCCCCCTTATGTCCCATATGGCTTCATGGTTTTTCCAGTCCCAGCTAATTCTCCATCCTGGCTGCTCTATGTGCCGGTATTGTTGCAGGTTAGTGATTGTTACTAGTACCTGTTCCCCATCCCATTTTCACACACACCACCCGTAAGTAAAAATATAAAATGGAATCGAAATATTAAGTTTTTGGTGAAAATGACCCAAAAAAAAAAATCTGAACTTGCATTGGTTTTCATAGAAAAAGTTCAAGGTTTTGGCCATTTTTCTCTGCAATTTAAAAGTTTTCTTCACAAAAGGTTCAACCTTCTCTCTCGAAAAAAAAAATGTGAAAATTCACATTTTGGCGATTTTCTCAATTGTAAATTATAGTGTAAGATCTAACTGAAACCCAGCTCCCACATAATCACGAGGGTCCCATTGAAGAACAGTGACAGAATTTTCGCCTTTTCCAGTCTCGTAGATATATACATACATATATATATATATATATATACACATACAGATGTAATCCGACAATAATGCCGAAACTTGACAAGTGTATTAGAGGGAAGGACATACGGTGGGTGCAGAGCCGCCGACAATGAGATCCCATTTGATCGTAATGTTTCCGTTGGGGTCCAAAGGATCATACCCTTCTGCAATTTTTTCACCAAAATCCCAAAAACAAAAAATCATCGCTCTCTAATTCACTGCCAAAAACCCTAAACCAATAAAAACAAATGATTTTTTTCTTGTATAAATATCAATGGAACAAAATGAACGATTATATTCAAGAGACTGTGCGTTGGGGGCTTACCAGTTGGTGAGATCGCGAAGAGAAGAGAGACGAACACGACGATGATCAACGTCGAGCCCTTTTGCCTTTGATCGACGAACAACATGTTGATTTTCAGATTCTCAAGCAAGATAAATAAATAAATAAATTTGGGTCGATGGAGAATTTAAAATTAAGAAAAAAAAAATGAGAAAGGAGGACAGAACAAGTGCTTTTCAGATTCCCTGTCCGAGTGACAAAGAGAATGAGCAGCTTGAAAGACTGTCTGACTGTTTGTATATAAACATTCAAGCTGTAAAATAATATTATTTACTCGTATAATACACACATTTATTTACGCACATATATTTGGTAAAGCCCATATCGATTTTTTTTTTTTAATGCATCTGATTTTGACGTATTATAAAATTGCATAATTTTCACCAGGGAGCAACACAACAAAAACAATAGATTTTTTTTTTTTGTTAAAACGCAATATACAAATTAAGGGAGATATTTTATTTCATAAAAAAAAAGGAAGATATTTTATATTTTAATACTAAATTAGGGGAATTAATGAGAAGAGAAGAATGTGTCAGAACAGAAAAGGTGGTGCGTTTTTCTTTTTTGAATTTCTCGTTTTAATTAACCACACACCAAACAAACAAAACACCTGCATCTCTTTTACCCTTTTTTTCATTTTCCTTTTTACTTAACAAATTACAATTTCAACATTTATTTCTTATTCCATGATGAAATTTATAATTTTCCCGTTTCCTAACCCATAGTTTTTTTTACTATGGATAAAATCCAATGTTTAGATTGTAATTGAATTTACACTACAACATATAGGTAAAATTTAGTCCTTGAAGATCATGGTTGATATTTTCAACCAAACTAAACTTAACTGTATAAAACTTCAACAATGAAAAATACATTAAAAAAAAATACAAAATCTAATATTATCATATACACACATATATATATATATATATGTGTGTGTGTACGTACATATATTTTCGATGGCCAAAGTTTTGTTAAAAAAATTGTAAAATAAATTCTTAGGTTGTCAGAAGTATTCTGCCATATAAGGAAAAACAATTGATGGAACTTTCTCTACAAATTGTTAAAACTTCTTAGCAAATTACATTCTATTTTCATAAAGAAATAATAAATTTCGTAGGTAAATATTAATAAACAAATTTCAAATCTAAAAGTAATGCAATTAAACTTTTCTAAATCCATAAAGGGAAAATATCTCTTTGTAGCTGAAGTTTCTCTCTTTGGATTTTTTTTTATAAATAAAATAAGTTCATCAATTTTCCTTATTGAGTTAAACATATCTGCAACAACTGTACGCGCTAATTCACAAAAACTGCAAATTAGTCGAAATATGTAAAACATATTTAGAAAACAATCTCGTAATGACTCATAAAAATGGAAATTTTATTATTTGTAGGCAATGGAGGAATTTGACAGATATTAAGGACCTTTTGTTTATTTAAAACCCAAGAGACGACTATGTAAAATTGAAAATTAATTAATTTAAAATCAACAAAGAAAACATTTTGGGATAAAAAAAAATATATATAAAAAATTCTAGACGGAAAATCTAAAAAGTCATCCGACCTGCCGGATTCGAACCAGCGACCTAAGGATCATCTGCAACCAACTACAGTCCTCCGCTCTACCAACTGAGCTAAGGTCGGAGGTTGAAATCGTAGGTATTTTTTAAATATATAATTGATAAAACAATTCATTTATTTTATTAATTAAAAATAAACCACTACTCATATAAAATCAATACACATATATCATCACTTTGTCGATTAAAATCCAACCATTATTTTACCTATATAAGAAAAAACATCAATATAGTATTTCATATAATTTTGCATCGATATAATTCGATTGGCTATGAACGAATTCAAGAACAATGTGATATTCTGTTTTGATATCGATTTATTTTGTTCTCATTTATCATAAGATTTTACTATATAGAAATCATTCCCCCTCTGAATATATAAAAATTGAAAACGTGGGCATGGTTTATTATTTGAAAGTTGACCCATTTTATATCCTAACTAAATTGAATCTATTAAAATAACTACCTGTCTCATAATAAATTTTTAAGATTTGAAATAAACGAATTCGAATTAATCGTATTCGAACAAATCAACCTCGAATATACTGCAACCGGATAGACTGAATCTAACCGTTTGTCCACTCATATATCACCCTATGAATGTTATATATATATAAGTAGATAAAGATTGATGTTTATATAGTTTGATAACTATATTTAACAAAGCCAGAAACAGGCGCAAAGGTTCTTGGACCCAGATTTGACGCAACGTCCGCTTGCGGAATCGGTCCCGACAGGAGAATACTTCTTGATACAAACTGCATTGCATCTTCTCTCCCAACAATTCGTCATCGATGGTTCTTGTGCCGCGCAAATCTGCCCCGTGTACTTATCCGGTTTCGCGATTATTTCTGCAAAAAAAAAAAAAAAAAAAAACCCAACAAATTATTTTAATATTTTCGTAATTATAACGTAGGAAAAAAAAATATTTAAATACATGTACGTACGAGGAATATGGGTTTTGTAATTGCGTTTTTTTTTTCTTTCTTAAAACTTACTTACCATCACCAATATTCCTCGCCATGGCCTTCTCGCTCCCTGCGTATAATTATTTTTTATTTTTTTTTAAAAAAGCGAATTAACATTAAAATTTGATTAAAAAAAATATGTATTTCCATGATATAAATAAATCAGAGACTTTAAAAACTTATTATACCAGTGAACGATAGGATCAGTGCGAGAATGGCGATGAAATAAACAATCTTCATTTCTTTTGAATTTTATTTTATTTTCTCTCCCCAAAAATACCGAAAAGACAATATTAAAGTTTCTTGTGTTCGTGTTTTTATAGCTACTAATCAAGAAACAAATTCGAGTTTTGTTACGATAATGACGAAAAAAATATACTATTTTTATCAGTAAATTTTGTAGCAGTAAATTTGTTTTTCCCCTTTTTTCTGTATATATACGTGTATTTTTACGTTGCAATGGGTTATAGTTACCTTTTTGTTAAAACTATTTATTTTTTTAAAAAACAATTTTGTTGCCACTTGTTTTTCTTATATATATATATATATATATATATCTTATATATATATATATATATATCGTTAAATTTGATTTTAAATATATTTTAAATAAATTTTTTGTTTTATTTAAATATGTTATATTCAAATTTGATTTTCTAAAAATATTATTATCTAGAATTTTTAAACGGTTTGGTCCTCGGTTCGAAAACCGAACCTTTCTCTCAAACATTAACATCAATGGAATTTAACTTAAATAAATAAATAAAGATGAAATTAGGGCGAAATTAACCCAAACAAAAAAGACGATTAGAACACTAAGTGGACTTCTGCTTCCTCCTTTTCACTTTTCTTTTCTCTAATTAATTTTATTTATCTCTTTTTATTTAGGGATAATTCCATTTAAAACCCTGTACTATTCTCTCGTCGCAATTTAAATCCTGTACTTTTTTTTTATCCAAAAAAATATTGTACTTTTAAAAATTGGCAATTAAAACTCTGTACTTTTAAAAATTGGCAAACAAAACCCTGAACGAAAAAAAATATTATTTAATACTGACATGACATCCTAATCACCTGTCACATCATCAACTCTTAATATTTAATAATATTAATTAATAAAAAATAAAAATAAAATAATATTAATAAAAATAAAATTTTAAAAATTATATACATTCATAAAAATTATACACATATATAAACATATTTATAAAAATTTTAAAATTATATACATATATAAATATATTTATATATACATATATACATATATATACATAGGATGCATATATATCTATATATGTGAGTGCAAACAAAACAAAAGCAAACGGCTCCTTGGCCAGTCCGTACATATATGTACTATACTAGACTTGGAGATGCAGAGATGGAACCAGTGTACTGTGTATCTGTGTGTTATATATGTATTTTTCCCTAAAAAATATTATATATATATGTATGATTTTTAGAAAAAAAATCATATATGACACATATATAAAACATATTTATATATACACATATATCTATATAATACATACATATATATATATATGTA